TATGAAACTGTGAAAATGATCATATCTAAGTGGTCGCTTGTCAGAATTTTTTTTTAAAGTGTAATATTCTTCCTGGGGGGTGTATATGAACAGATTTTAGTAAGATTTCATGTTGCTAAAATGCTGTCAGTTCCAGTTTAAATGCAACACTTACAGTGCCTTTTTCCACATTTTGTTGTGTTACTGCCTGAATTTAAAATGGATTAAATTGATATATTTTGTCACTGGCCTACATACAATACCCCATAACGTCAAAGTGGAATTATGTTTTTCGAAATTTTTACAAATTAATAAAATATTAAAAGCTGAAATGTCTTGAGTCAGTAAGTATTCAACCCCTTTGTTATGGCAAGCCTAAATAAGTTCAGGAGTAAAAATGTGCTTATCAAGTCACATAAGTTGCATGGACTCACTCTGTGTGCAATAATAGTGTTTAACATGATTTTTGAATGACTACCTCATCTCTGTACCACACACATACAATTATCTGTAAGGTCCCTCAGTTCAGCAGTGAATTTCAAACACAGATTCAACCACAAAGATCAGGGAGGTTTTCCAATGCCTCGCAAAGAAGGACACCTATTGGTAGATGGGTAACATTTGTAAAAAGCAGACATTGAATATCCCTTTGGGCATGGTGAAGTCATTAATTACACTTTGGATGGTTTATCAATACACCCAGTCACTACAAAGATACAGGCGTCCTTCCTATCTCAGTTGCCGGACAGGAAGGAAACCACTCAGGGATTTCACCATGAGGCCAATGTCACTTTAAAACAGAGTTCAATGGCTGTGATAGGAGAAAACTGAGGATGAATCTGTGATGGACATTTTTATGTTTGTGCTTTTCTATTTACCAATTTCTGTGTTCATGCAAGTGACTGATTGAACGAATCCTCACTATCAGTGTCTGCAATTTGGTAGTATGCTGATGGGTTCTGACTTCTAAACTTGAAAATATGTTATTGTTAGATATTAGGTATCCTATGGAGAGGATAAGGGCCACAGTCTGGTTTCAGTTGTTGGGTTGTAATTTGAAATACTTGATACACCCAAAGTTAATGGTTATACAGTGGCTTGCGAAAGTATTCACCCCCCTTGGCATTTTTCCTATTTTGTTGCCTTACAACCTGGAATTCAAATGGATTTTTGGGGGGTTTGTATCATTTGATTTACACAACATGCCTACCACTTTGAAGATGCAAAATATTTTTTTATTGTGAAACAAACAAGAAATAAGAAAAAAAAAAAAACTTGAGCATGCATAACTATTCACCCCCCCAAAAGTCAATACTTTGTAGAGCCACCGTTTGCAGCAATTACAGCTACAAGTCTCTTGGGGTATGTCTCTATAGCCACTGGGATTTTTGCCCATTCTTCAAGGCAAAACTGCTCCAGCTCCTTCAAGTTGGATGGGTTCCTCTGGTGTACAGCAATCTTTAAGTCATACCACATATTCTCAATTGGATTGAGGTCTGGGCTTTGACTAGGCCAATCCAAGACATTTAAATGTTTCCCCTTAAACCACTCAAGTGTTGCTTTAGCAGTATGCTTAGGGTCATTGTCCTGCTGGAAGGTGAACCTCCGTCCCAGTCTCAAATCTTTGGAAGACTGAAACAGGTTTCCCTCAAGAATTTCCTTGTATTTAGCACCATCCATCATTCCTTCAATTCTGACCAGTTTCCCAGTCCCTGCCGATGAAAAACACCACACAACATGATGCTGCCACCACAACATTGTTGGCATGAGAGGCAGTGGGAGGGGCTTGGTGTGTGTGTGTAAACCATAGAGGAAGAGGCGAAGCGAGAGGTTTTACTCTCACTAAAATCTGTCCAAAATGCATTTCTATAGGCTTATTTTGGACCTAAGCTTGTCACCTGCCTTCCCGCCTTTGGGACAACGACTCCTATTGTTAGGGTGGAGACTTGCATCTCGTCATTATATACAGATCTCTGGTGTAAATGGAAAGATGCACGCAGAGGAGTGAAGGAGACGACGAGACCAAAAATACAACATGAGAACAAGCGGACATAAACACTCATGAAAACGAAAAATAACAAATCCTTCATTCTTGCGATACAGGCATTTGAAAATATCTCGCAAAAATGTAAATTCAAATTAATTCGATATATCGCCCAGCCCTAGTTGGAGGCGGCTTATGGTAGAGAAATAAACATTTAATTATCTGGCAACAGCTCTGGTGGTCATTCCTGCATTCAGCATGCCAATTGCACGCTCAAAACCTGAGACATCTGTGGCATTGTGTTGTGTGACAACTGCACATTTTAGAGTGGCCTTTTATTGTCCCCAGCACAAGGTGCACCTGTGTAATGATCATGCTGTTTAATCAGGTTCTTGATATGCCACGCCTGTCAGGTGGAAGGGTTATCTTGGCAAAGGAGAAATGCTGTAAACAAAGTTGTGCACCATTGTCGAGAAATAAGCTTTTTGTGCATATGGAACATTTCTTGGATCTTTTATTTCAGCTCATGAAACACGGGACCAACAGTTTACATATGATATGGAGGTTGGAGACATGTTTATTTTGGAGACATGTTTATTTTGACATTATAAAGAAAACTTGTATAAACAATGGCAACACTGCGATGTTGCATTGAGCCTTGCTTTTGGAAAACACCATCAGTGTCCGACTTTCGGCTGTCGCAGATGCACCTCCCCCGACTTAACTCCTTGACTTTCGTCTGCAGTCGGTTGATTCAATGCCCAATGTCAAAGTTCACTATGTACTGAAAAGCACTATAGGCTGTAGCACTACTGAATGATTGTGAGAGTAAGGACTTTTTCTTCTAGTCTTCTGTTGAAATTACAAGCAAATACTTTTCTTCTTCTATTGTTTTAACCCTGCTCAATGCAAAGCTGTTTTTGGCTTCACACTTACAGTATGTGTATCATAATTCTAGTTTTATGTAAGTGAACTTTGAAACACCCTCAGTCCCCTCCCATCGACACCCACTGCTCAAACACACACTGTAATGTTTAGATCCTGTGCATTCTCTACCTTAGCTGAGATGTATCTGTTTGGCATCAGATACACTGTTACCCAGTAGGACAGTGTGTGTGACAGTGTGCAGTGTTTGTCTGTTGTGTACACTACCAGTGCTATAGTATGTCAGTGACTAATAATTATAATAATAATATATACAGTTGAAGTCGGAAGTTTACATACACCTTAGCCAAATACATTTAAACTCAGTTTTTCACAATTCCTGACATTTAATCCTAGTACAAATTCCCTGTTTTAGGTCAGTTAGGATCACCACTTTATTTTAAGAATGTGAAATGTCAGAATAATAGTAGAGAGAATGATTTATTTCAGCTTTTATTTCTTTCATCACCTTCCCAGTGGGTCAGACGTTTACATACACTCAATTAGTATTTGGTAGCATTGCCTTTAAATTGTTTAACTTGGGTCAAACGTTTCGGGTAGCCTTCCACAAGCTTCCCACAATAAGTTGGGTGAATTTTGGCCCATTCCTCCTGACAGAGCTGGTGTAACTGAGTCAGGTTTGTAGGCCTCCTTGCTCGCACATGCTTTTTCAGTTCTGCCCACACATTTTCTATAGGATTGAGGTCAGGGCTTTGTGATGGCCACTCCAATACCTTGACTTTGTTGTCCTTAAGCCATTTTGCCACAACTTTGGAAGTATGCTTGGGGTCATTGTCCATTTGGAAGACCCATTTGCGACCAAGTTTTAACTTCCTGACTGATGTCTTGAGATGTTGCTTCAACATATCCACATCATTTTCCTTCCTCATGATGCCATCTATTTTGTGAAGTGCACCAGTCCCTCCTGCAGCAAAGCACCCCCACAGCATGATGCTGCAACCCCCGTGCTTCACGGTTGGGATGGTGTTCTTCGGCTTGCAAGAACCCCCTTTTTCCTCCAAACATAATGATGGTCATTATGGCCAAACAGTTCTATTTTTGTTTCATCAGACCAGAGGACATTGCTCCAAAAAGTACGATATTTGTCCCCATGTGCAGTTGCAAACCTTAGTCTGGCTTTTTTATGGCGGTTTTGGAGCAGTGGCTTCTTCCTTGCTGAGTGGCCTTTCAGGTTATGTCGATATAGGACTCGTTTTACTGTGGATATAGATACTTTTGTACCTGTTTCCTCCAGCTTCTTCACAAGGTCCTTTGCTGTTGTTCTGGGATTGATTTGCACTTTTCGCACCAAAGTACGTTCATCTCTAGGAGACAGAACGCGTCTCCTTCCTGAGCGGTATGACAGCTGCGTGGTCCCATGGTGTTTATACTTCCGTACAACTGATTGTACAGATGAACGTGGTACCTTCAGGCATTTGGAAATTGCTCCCAAGGATGAACCAGACTTGTGGAGGTCCACACATTTTTTCTGAGGTCTTTGCTGATTTCTTTTGATTTCCCCATGATGTCAAGCAAAGAGGCACTGAGTTTGAAGTTAGGCCTTGAAATACATCCACAGGTACACCTCCAATTGACTCAAATGATGTCAATTAGCCTATCAGAAGCTTCTAAAGCCATGACGTCCTTTTCTGGAATTTTCCAAGCTGTTTAAAGGCACAGTCAACTTAGTGTATGTAAACTTCTGACCCACTGGAATTGTGATACAGTGAATTATAAGAGAAATAATCTGTCTGTAAACAAACTTGTGTCATGCACAAAGTAGATGTAATAACCGACTTTCCAAAACTATAGTTTGTTAACAAGAAATGTGTGGAGTGGTTGAAAAACAAGTTTTAATGACTCCAACCTAAGTGTATGTAAACTTCCGACTTCAACTGTATATAGCGCTTTTCATACAGAATATGTCAAAGAAATATATTTAAAAAAATAATTGAGGCAGCTGGCAGTTCAAATTGTCTATTGGGTGTCAGTGTTGTCTCACAGTGCCCCTGTCTGTTTTCTTCAGTTATTAGTCAGTTCTCTAGCTGTAATGCTATAAACACCCTCCTGAATAGGTCCCTGATGTAATTGTATTCCAGGTTTTGTGATTGGCATGTCCCCCTGTCTGTCTGTGTCCTCTGACAGGACCGTGAGGATGCAGCAGCTGCGCGTTGCAGTGGTGGGCGTGGGAGCTGCAGGTCTGTGTGCCGCACGTCACATCATGTCCCGCCCAGACACCTTCGCACCACCTGTCGCCTACAAGCTCACGGAACACGTGGGTGGCACCTGGTTCTATGAGGAACGTACCGGTAGCTATGACAACGGGCTGCCCATTCACAGCAGCATGTACAGAGACCTCAGGTACTGTAACACTCTAACCTCACACCTCTCACTCTGTTTTTCTCTCTCTCTCTGACATGACCCTGGTCTTATTTTGTGTGTCTCATGTCTTACTCTCCCTCCCTCTATGCAGGACCAACCTGCCCAAGGAGGTGATGATGTTCCCTGACTTCCCCTTTGACCCCCAGCTACCCTCCTTCCTGCCACACCAGGAAGTGCAGATATATCTGAGAGAGATAGATGCCAGAGCCACCGCATCACACCACACGTCAGGTTAGTTACCGTCCACTCACACACAATGCCTTGTGGTCCTTTGTCAGGGGTAGAGAAGGAAGGTCCACACTCATCAATTTCAGGTGAAAAAAGGAAAAACTGTATTTGATTTCACAGGAAAAGAGTCTAAAGCCTCTCACCACATATCTCCCCCACTCTTTGTTAGTTCAGCACCGTGGTGGAGGAGGTGAGCCCTGTCACCATGGCGACAGAGGAGAAGGGACCAATGACGAAGTGGGAGGTGACTTCACGTGACAAGTCGGGATCACATCCCATCCATCCCTGGGCTAGAGCGATTTAAAGGTGCACACCAGAGTCATCATCTAGCTTATCTTTCTCTTCCTACACTAAATATACAAAGGTATGTCGACACCCCTTCAAATTAGTGAATTTGGCTATTTCAGCCACACCCGTTGCTGACAGGTGTATGAAATCGAGCACACAGCCATGCAATCTCCATAGACAAACATTGGCAGTAGAATGGCCTTACTGAAGAGCTCAGTGACTTTCAACGTGGCCACCTTTCCAACAAGACATTTCGTCAAGTTTCTGCCCTGCTAGAGTTGCCCCGGTCAATTGTAAGTGCTGTTATTGTGAAGTGGAAACGTCTCGGAGCAACAACGGCTCAGCCGTAAAGTGGTATGCCACACAAGCTCACAGAACGGGAGTGCTGAAGCGCGTAAAAATCGTCTGTCCTCGGTTGCAACAATCAATCAATTGAATGTATTTATAAAGCCCTTTTTACATAAGCAGATGTCACAAAGTGCTATACAGAAACTCATTACCGCATTCCAAACTGCCTCTGGAAGCAACGTCAGCACAAGAACTGTCCGTCGGGAGCTTCATGAATGGGTTTCCATGGCCGAGCAGCCGCTCACAGGCCTAAGATCACCAGGCGCAATGCCAAGCGTCGGCTGGAGTGGTGTAAAGTTCGCCGCCATTGGACTCTGGAGCAGTGGAAATGAATCACGCGCTTCACCATCTGGCAGTCCGATGGACGAATCTGGGTTTGGCGGATGCCAGGAGATAGATACCTGCCCGAATGCATAGTGCCAACTGTAAAGTTTGGTGGAGGAGGAATAATGGTATGTGGCTGCTTTTCATGGTTTGGGCTAGGCCCCTTAGTTCCAGTGAAGGGAAATCTTAACACTACAGCATACAATTACATTCTAGACGATTCTGTGCTTCCAACTTTGTGGCAACAGTTTGGTGAAGGCCCTTACCTGTTTCAGCATGACAATGCCCCCGTGCACAAAGCGAGGTCCATACAGAAATGGTTTGTCGAGATCGGTGTGGAAGAACTTGACTGGCCTGCACAGAGCCCTGACCTCAACTCCATCGAACACCTTTGGGATTAATTGGAATGCCAACTGCGAGCCAGGCCTAATCGCCCAACATCAGTGCCCGACCTTACTAATGATCTTGTGGCTGAATGGAAGCAAGTCCCTGCAGCAATGTTCCAACATCTAGTGGAAATCCTTCCCAGAAGAGTGGATGCTGTTATAGCAGCAAAGGGGGAACCAACTCCATATTAATGCCCATGATTTTGGAATGAGATGTTCGACGAGCAGGTGTCCACATACTTTTGGTCATGTAGTGTAATACTTTTGGTCATGTAGTGTATATCTCATGTCTGGGTTTTCCTGACCATGTGACCTGATCTGGAAAACGTCTGGGCCAGGTTAGGTGGTCAGGAAAAACTCATGGCCTGTATCTCATGCCATCTCTCTTTATCTCCCTCTCTCTCTGAAGCTGTATCTCATCCCATCCCCGTCTCTCTTTCTAGTCAAAGTGATCCACAGTCACTCATACCGCCACCCAGAGCCCTTCTCAGGTCAGTCAGTGGTGGTGCTGGGGCCTCAGGACTGGACATCTCACTAGAACTGGGTCGATCCAATGCCCAGGTGACTCTGAGCCATGGTAAGCCCACCCTGCCCTTCCCTCTGCCCTATGGGGTCTTCCAGGCTACACCTGTGGTGGAGGTCCAGGAGGATGGGTCTCTGCAGTTCCAGGATGGGTCCATTACCCAGGCCCAGGTCCTGCTGCTCTGTACGGGCTACAACTTCAGCTACCCCTTCCTAGAGCTGGCCAAGCTGGGCCTGGAGGTCCAGGAGCACCTGGTAACTCCGCTCTACAGGTTCCTGATGCCTCCAGCCTTCCCATCACTCTTCATCATTGGCATCTGCAAAATAATTTGCCCCTTCCCCCACTTTCACTGCCAGATGAGGAAGGAGGCTTAAAGATGGTTGATGTTGTTGAAAATCTTATTTTTTGTGGAACAAAATATCTGGCATTCCCACCCCTCCCTCACCATCTCTATCTCTCTCTCACTCTGCCCCTCTCTCTCTTCAGATCCAGTTTGCCCTTGCAGTGCTGGAGGACTCCGAGGCCCTGCCGTCGCGTGCTGAGATGGAAGAGGAGGCGCAGAGAGAGCTGAAGAGGAAGGCAGAGAGGGGGGTGCAGCTCAAACACATGCTGAAGATGGACAAGGACCAGTGGGGTTATGCCCAGACCTTAGCTCAGACTGGGAGGTTCTCCCCTCTGCTCCCAGTCACACAGAGCCTGTATGAGGAGGTATGGAGACACGTTCACCCACAGAACTACAGGCAGCTAAACGATCGACTCATCAGCGACACCCAATGGGAGCAACAGGAACTGCAGGCTGGTGAATGCAGAGGAGAGGCAGCCTGGTCTCAGAGACGTAACATAGTAAATGGGTAAATTCGGAAATGTGGATTAGTATGAAATGTTACGTTTGGTATGGTTATGTAAGACAGATGGTTCCTTAAGGCAAAAATGAAAGTAGTATGGTTGGTCGGGGTGAATGGGCGGGCGGATAACGCGAACGTCTAGCAACCCTAAGGTTGCGAGTTCGAATCTCATCACGTATAATTTTAGCTAATTAGCAACTTTTCAACTACACTGAACAAAATTATAAACGCAACAATTTCAAAGATTTTACTGACTTACAGTTTATATAAGGAAATCAGTTAATTGAAATAAATTCATTAGGCCCTAATCTATGGACTTCATATGACTGGGAATACAGATATGCATCTGTTGGTCACAGAGGCCTTAAAAAAAAGGTAGGGGCGTGGATTAGAAAACCAGTCAGTATCTGATGTGACCACCATTTGCTTCATGCAGTGCGATACATCTCCTTTGCATAGAGTTGGCCAGGCTGTGGAATGTTGTCCCACTCCTCTTCAATGGCTGTGTGAAGTTGCTGGATATTGGCGGGAACTGAAACATACTGTTGTATACGTCGATCCAGAGCATCCCAAACATGCTCAATGGGTGATATGTCTGGTGAGTATGCAGGCCATGGAAGAACTGGGACATTTTCAGCTTCCAGGAATTGTGTACAGATCCTTGCGAGGTGATGGCGGCAGATGAATAACACGACAATGGGCCTCAGGATTTCATCACAGTATTTTTGTGCATTCAAATTGCCATTGATAAAATGCAATTGTGTTTGTTGTCTGTAGCTTATGCCTGCCCATACCATAACCCCACCGCCACTATGAGGTGTGGGGGGGGGATTCTGAAATTGCATTTTTGCCCCCCCCCCCAGTTTTATCATTGGAATGTGATACAAAACGAGGCAACGGTATGCTTTAGGACCATGCGGACGCCTCCGAGCAGTCGGGTAGGCTGTTTGGAGTGTTTTATCCGACTGGATAAAAATACATTTTAAAAAAGTTATGTCCCCCCCACTTGTAAAACCAAAGTTGCGCCCCTGCTTGGAAGCTTTGGATAAATGGACAGAATAATGTAGGCCTTCTGTCCTGTTACTTTGACATTATGTATTGTAAATGTAAATAAGAATGTAAGCAATATATACATTTTCATCCACAATCCTTTAGATAACAATGTTAGTAGCCTAAACAAATGCACCACCTCACCAACTGTTTTTTTTCTTTCACTTATTGTAAATAGAAATCATGTAATATCTTATTGTCACATATCTCAATATTAAACACTTTTTTCAATATTGTATGTCAATAGAATCAATACAACCTATGTCAATCGAATTAATAGAACTACAAAATGTATTTCCAATGCATAAGTGCCGAGCTCCACGGAAATAAAAAAATGCCAAGGAAATAATAGAACCAATGTGTACACTTTTTTTTAAATTAAATTACTATTTTAATGTTTTTTGAATTTCCCTCATAAGAATTATATTATTTGAAAAACAATTGATGTTTACGTTTTTTCCGCAAATGCTGTTGGCTGTCACTGAAAGCAATCCTCGGTGACTTTCTCTTTCCCACCGGGTTTTCCCATCTGGTTTGAATCGTCATCTCCAAAAATTGTGAAATTGGACACCTAAGAGTACATTCTTAACCCTTTCTTAGAGATCTCCTTTACATTGTATCCCGTTCGAAATGTAGGACCAGAGTCAGACCACACCCGCTCGTTTAGATCTTAAATGGATATCGCATGTAATTTCAACCCTTACAGGAATTCGAAACAACGCTATTTAAAGGGGATATGCACGGACAGAGGGCTCAAGTGGTGGTGCATTGGATGTAGGAAGCGGTCGTATATTTCCCTCGCTGCAGAAGGTAGAGGTTAAAAAGCTGTGGGAACGGCTTAGAGGAAAGAGGGGGGCGGGAGGAAAGGGAAGGGGTACGGGAGAAAGGCAGGCAGGGTGTTTCCTTAACTTCAAGGAAGAGTTTAATCAGAAGTTAATAGCTTATTGTGGGCAATTAAAACGATACACCACTGAGAACTGGGAAACAGTAAAGTATCAAATTATAAAACACAGAAACAAGATGAGACCGCGATGTTGGGAATAGGAAAAAGGCACCACGGTCTGGAATAGGTAAGTCAAAGTATCCGCTTGCCACCCGCCTCCCTCAATCTTCAACTTGTAAACAACACATTTTCAACGACGTGTGTGGTGTGCGTTAAATATCAATGGAGAAGAGATACTTTGTATTCGTGTCGTGCGCGCGTTCTAGCACATTCATGGCAAGAAATCTGAGCGCAATCGTTCTACAGTCGGACATAGCGAGTCTGAAAAGTATTTAAACTTCAAGCTTTTTATAACAGAGTGGGAATTTTGGGTGTAGTCTAGTGCATGCAATCATAGTTCAGCTGATGGGAAAGGTAAACAATTCACTATTAGGAAATAGACTAGTCTCTCCTACAGTTCAGGCCAAGTGTTTCCCAACTTCTCTAAGGAATACTTGTTTTTCTCCTGAGTATCCTGGAATCCTATTGTTGATAATCAACCCTACTCTACCCTGTTGTAAGATTGTGCACAGTGTATAATTATGTTGGCAGCTGCTAATTGATAAACTAACTTATTTATTTATCAGAGACCACCCACCGTGAGTCACTTTATACCAGATTAAAATGAATCAAATCCTCTACCTTGGCGTCCCTTTCTCTGCCATCTGCCCACAACAACAGGGTGAAGGATGGAGGGAGAGACAGAGAAAGACACAGCGGAGGAAAAGGAGCGTGATGAGACACAGCTGTCTGCTGGGGAAGAGGAAGGGGCGGGGCGACTTCATCAGAACGGAGGGTCCTCCGAGGACGACCAGGACCTACCCATCATGCACTGGGAGGACCTGAGCCTGAGGATCGCTGAGCTGGAGAAACAGGAGGAGGAGAGGAGAGAAAGGGCAAAGGTCCGAGGGCATGAAGGGAGGGTGAAGATGTTGTGACAGTTCTGAGATCAGCTTATCCTCCCCAAACCCTGACCGTAATAATTATCAGGAACAACACAACACTGACCGTAGATCAAATAAAATAGTATTTGTCACATGCGGCCAAATACAACAGGTGTAGACTTTACTGTGAAATGGTTACTTATGAGCCATTTCCCAACAATGCAGAGATAAAAAGTAAGACAAAAAAAATACAATTGTCAAATAAGGGGGGGGGAAAGGAAATAGTAACAATAACGAGGCTATACTGTACAAGGAGTACCGGTACTGAGTCAATGTGCAGGGGTATGAGGTAATTTAGGTAATATTACATGTAGGTAGGGGGAAAAGTGACTAGAAAATCAAGATAGATAATAAACAGAGTAGCAGCAGTGTGTGTGCATGTTGGAATGTCAGTGTAGTATGTGTGAGTGTGCATAGAGCCAGTGCAAGAATGTCATTGAAAAATTTAAAAGGGGGGTCAATGCAAATAGTCTGAGTAGCCATCAGCATTTAGGGGCAACTTAATCCTACTCTCTTTGCTTTATACATAATCAATAATATCCACCGCCATTAGGCTGAAATCTAGAGCCTTATTGACAGTCATGTAGCCCATTGCTATTGTGCAAGCTGAGTTCACAATAATGTCTGTTAAGAAGGTGATCGCAATAACACCCTGGTCCCTGTGACACCATGACATTAAAGCTGAACTTGTCTGTTTGAAAAAGACTGCAGTGATGGGTTTAATGACACCCATTGCTTACACTCTCAACTCCCCCGCTACCACACGTCTCCACCCCTTCCCTCCCATGTCATCCCTCCATCCCTGATCCCTCCCTCTGTTCCTCTCTTTCAGAGTACAAGTGGGTCGGAACAGGGGAGTGTGTCAGGGGGCTGGGCGGAGGAGAGGCAGGGTGGGCTGTGGAGGAGAGATGAATGGGAGGATGAGGAGGACTACGGAAGATGTCGAGTTGCGGTTGTATCGTCTAGGTAACAAAAGTCAAAAACAGTCAATTTCATTCTCAACTTAATTCTGTATACCATTTAATTTAAGTTCTCTCTTTTAAGTGTTCATGTTATTTTTGCCTTTTATTTTCTTATTACAGATTCCACAACCACAAAAATCTACAGTTATGCTACATCAACAACAGTGAGAGTGAGGATGATGAGGCAGAGGAAGGGGCTGTCAAAGAGGTGAGCGAGTCCCTCCTGTTTTATAGTATAGCACAAAACTGGGACAAAAACCTACACACATTGCGGCACTCTAGGGCCAGGTGTGAAGATATGCATATGTACCCATGCCATGCTTTTGTTGTGTTTCCTGTTTGCCAGGGTTCTATAGGGCCAGGTAGCCATGGTTACCGCCCCTCTGGCCTGAAGCTGGAAGTGAGGGCCGCACTGAGCGCGCTCAAAAACAAGCTGCTAGCCGAACAGAAAGTGGAGGTGAGAAGGATGGAGAAGTGTGGACTGTGGAGAGAAAGAAATATGGTTGGAAGAAATAGAGGGAAACAGCGGGCATGTGGTGGGAGAGAGGTAAGGATTGGTATGTGTGAATAATTCCTGTGTGTGTGTGTCTGTCTCAGCACCTTGCCTGCAGTAGTGTGATCACTAAGAGGACTCATCTGGAACACTGTGACCTGCAGACCTGCTCAATACAGCAGCTCAACTCCCTCAGGACCTCACTCAACCACGACATACACGGTCAGTAGGCGGTCATTGCATGGGAATTGTGGTCATTACATGGGGGAAAAAAGGTGGTTATTCCTTGGTAATAATGTGTTAGTAAATGAACTGGCAGGTGAGTGCTTGTTGTACGGTTTTTGTGTTTTGGGATCTATATGTATTTGTGCCTTGTTTTTGTGCAAAGTAATATTCTATTCTATTCTTGCAGACCTGAGCTCAGAGTTGGTGGGTCACCTGTTGATAAGGGACCAGCTGAGGACCAAACAGGACGCCATGCTCCTGGACGTACAGGATCTGACATAACCCTGACCCACAGGTGCACAGGACAGTGGATAAAGTGATGCTGTCCAGGATATGCCACTATGAGACTGTCAGAAGTGTTGCCATAATATCCTACTCAACATATGATTCTTCGATAAGGAGAAATGTTGAGGATGAACACCGGCGTCATAATGCAATCCATATTACACAGACAGGGAATGGATAACTTTCTCTTCATCATCCCCACCTAATCTTGACCAGCATAATCTTCTTCATCATCGTCATTTTCATCATTAGTGGAGAGAGGACTGTATTAGGACCTGTTTTGATGTACGCATGCACTTAATTAACAACAAATATTTCATATCAGAAAGAGGAGTTGAAGCCATTTGTGATGTTGTTTGAAACATCTCTAATAATATCTGACTCCTAGTCTGTTGCCGGTGGTAAGACAAATCTTATCTTGGGAGAACCTTCACAGCCATAGTTTAACCCAACATTCAATGAGTTATATCATTTACATATCTGAGGGATACCAGCTTTTCCACAAGTTTTATTGTGTAAACATTGCAATATCCTTGACTTACTAATGTAAGGGAATTGTCCACTTACAGCCTGTGTAAAACAAGCTAAGGGGTTACATATTCAGGCTAAAGGGAACTGTCCTGTAACAATTTGGTAGAGAAGCTTCTTTGTTGCTAATTTAGGATAATTATCCTCTTGTATAGTTGCTGATGTAAGGGAATTGTCCACTTATATTGCCTATAAGCCTGTGGGTATTGACATGCATGTTGACTCTTGTGATATACCTAGGTGGTTTGTGGCCATAACTATAACTACCACCAGCATAGGAAACCACAAAGCTGCTATTGGGTGATTCAATGCCAACAAAGGCCGAAAAGATTTTGGTATCTCAGATTGTTCTGGCAATTCTCACATAGAAACTTCATTGGGAGGAAGGATGTTTGATAGGCTTTTTACATTTGTAACACAAAACATTTTTTTGTGAAAGTGGCCATTTTAGGCCCTTTCTAGACCTATACATGCCCCCTGTAAGACCTAATGATCCATGAACCGTACATGATAAAGACAACACCTTGGTGTCATTATTCTCCTAATAGTGTGCTATAAAATATGGAGTATTGCTACATTCTGAAATACAATTTTACACATGATTTTATTCAACATTAAAACTATTAATATCTTAAAAGTACCCTTTTAGATTTTGTTCATACTCTACAAGTACATCAACGTTCCAGATTTTGGGTTCTCTACTACATTTAAAGTTAATACATTTTATGAGCGCCATCAACACAGTGAATGGGAAAATGGATTCAAAGGGAACTGTGATTGGTTAATGACCTATGTCAATTTCTATGTATAAAATTGATCATTTCTTCAAAAGTAGCAGAGCGCCCACTCTGGAAATGTGATGTGTTTGAAGATGTCTAAAAATAAGCCAAATCAAAAAGGGTACTTTTGAGATATTAATAATTATATTCTTTATGTTGAATAAATTAATGTGAACATTTTTATTTCAGAATATAGCCATACTCCATATTTTAAAGCACACTATAAGGAGTATAATGACACCAAGATGTCTGTACCATGTACGGTTCACGGATTATATGGTCTAAAAAAGGTTTGTGATACAAATGTATAACGTTTTTATGTGAGAATAGCATGGGAATTGTGGTCATTTGAGATATGAATAATTATATTCTTTATGTTGAATAAATTAATGTGAACATTTTTATTTCAGAATATAGCCATACTCCATATTTTAAAGCATACTATAAGGAGTATAATGACACCAAGATGTCTGTACCATGTACGGTTCACGGATTATATGGTCTAAAAAAGGTTTGTGATACAAATGTATAAAGTTTTTATGTGAGAATTGCTAGAACAATCTGAGATACCTTAAAAAAAAAAAAGGGGCCGTGCCGGAGTGGAATCGCCCTATTCCATCCACTATGTCTAGGTACAAGATACTTTCCTGACCATGTGACCTCACCAGGAACAACACCAGGCTCTAGTTACTGACCTAGTCTTTCCTGTTCAGGTCATATGGTCTAGAAAAACTCCTGGCCATATTACCTTTTGTGCCTTGACCAGCAATTATTATATGTTGTACTTTCACATAATTGTGTGTATTTGTAGTTTTATGGAAGAATGAACTGTGATAGCAGATTCATAGCCATAGGAAAGGGATGAGTGCTCTGAAGTAACATTGAACTTTTTTGTCTCTGAAGTATTTTTCAGTATTCACTTTTTTAAAAATAATTTTGCATTCAATAAACCTTAGTTATTTCATGTTGTGTGTGTCTGTGATGCTGCTAGCACACTATACAATATTTCCATGTATTTGTTCGAATCTATAGTGTGTGCATGCGTACGAGCAAGCAAATGTGTGTGTGTACCATTGGGTACCTTCAGTTGACTAGCTCAGTACTAATGATTTAGACGACAAAAATAGAGGGAGAGGGAGGGTATTGACGAGGATAAAGTAAAACAGAGGGAGGAGGGATGGTTGAGCAACAGAGTCAGGGATGACTAACCCGCACCAGAGGAGAGAGAGAGAGAGCAGGAGGAGGAGATGAATCAAATAATAGAGATATGAGTGTGTTAAAGGTGAGTGGAAGTTAATGTTACATATTAGCAGTGTTTTACTGAAGAGCTCATTGGCTACGGGACAAAAGTAGAAGAGAAGAAACAGGCTGGTATATTTTAAAGTGACAAACAAAGGACAATACATCTTCTATATCACCAGAAAACCAGGTAAGATATTATATTTATACTTTAAACCTAACACATAATACTGTATATACTCTGCTGTAGACATTGCTTTGTACACACATTAAATATACATAATGTGAATTATTTAAACAATGTGAAAATATCAACACCATCACCACAAACATACAGAGGATGATGAATAAAGAGTTTCCTTACTGTTGTAATAAAACATTTTAAATTATATAAATACCCCATTTCCACACATTCTTGATTTTACAAAATGGTTAATATGTTCAATACACATAATTTGAAGGGTTGATAATTAAATGTTGCAAAAACGTTGCAGTAGTAGCGCCTGCAGCGGCTTGTATTGGGTTTCTGTTCTGCATATCTGTCTGAATGAATGGATATGAATTATTTACAGCGCCAGCGAAGGTCATAGGAGGAGGACCCTGTGTCCATCGGGACCAAGACACATTTAGCTGCACCTTGCCATGAAATACACACCCCCCTGCACCAAGAGGTAATGTGCTCCTTTAAATGTTCCAATCCTCTTGTTATTAGAAAGAGATACATGTGAAGGCTTCTGGAATAACTAAACCAAGTTTCAACCAATTATCTTCCACTGGAACCAAGGCCATGAGAGAGTTCTGTGTGATAAACACTCCCAACATGGAAGATAAACATGAGGGAGGTAAACACTGAGCACATAAACAGCATTTTCCAACTAATTTAGCATTAATTTACGTGCAAACTCTAAAGACAACATACATACAAACACACACTGTGCACAACAACACACAAGAAGAACCCACTGTCGTTGGTCCCATTTCCATTCTTAACACTTAGCATAAACTTTCAAAATATGTCACATTCTTGGACAGTGGATCAATCTACTCCAAAACATGGGCTTGAGTGTACTCATGGTCAAAGTGGATCAGATATACAGCATGTATGAATGGAGAGTTTCCGGAAGAGTGTGTTACTGATTGAAGAGCTAATAGACCGAGAATTGTCCATAATCAGCTAAATACATTCCTAGTGAGTATTTCCAAACCAAAGCACTTGTTTTCTCCCTCTTGCACAGAACATTCCTTCCCTCAAACTATCTGCAAACCTGGAGAGTACAGTTTAGAAGACAACCGCACCTGAGAGAGAGCAAATGACAGGAACACTAGACAAGCAGAAGAATTTGCCCCAAGGAAGGCTTGATGAAAAAGGAACATGAGACGCTGCAGAAGAGAGGAAAACAACCACAGTCAACCATGAGTATAAGCCAAGCTTCCAACACCACAGAGAGCACATCTGTGATAGAAACCCTCTCCTCCTTCACCCCACCACCCCCCCTCTCTCCCTCCCCCTGCAGTATTGACGAGTCCTACAAGTACATCTTCCTCCCTCTCTGCTACTCCCTCACCTTCTTCTTCAGCCTGACGCTGAACTCCATTGTCCTGGTGCGCTCCTGCCGTCGCTATGGTGGCTGTCGCCACGGCAATGCCCCCCGCCGCTGGACCACGTCTCTGATCTACATGGTGAACCTGGCAACCACGGACCTGATGTACGGCCTGTCCCTGCCCTTCCTGGTGGCCAGCTACATGCTTCGAGACCGCTGGGTTTTTGGGGACTTAATGTGTCGCCTGGTGCGTTTCCTGTTCTACTTCAATCTCTACTGCTCCATCTTCTTCCTCACCTGTATCTCCGTCCACCGCTACCTGGGCATCTGCCACCCCATGAGGACCATCACCCTGGAGAGCAAGGGGGCCGTGAGGGGGACCTGCGCCATGGTGTGGGTGGTGGTGTTCATGCTTACTTGTCCCATCTTTAGGTTTGCCCAAACGGGGTATGTGGTGAGAGGAGGAGGTGATGGAGGGAGGGAAGGAGAGCGGGGGAATGGGTCTGAGGAGGAGGGGGTTGGAGAGGTAGTCGGTGGTGGTCCGAAGGGGTTTGTGAACTGTTGGGACGATGCTATTGATAAAGAGTTTGCAGACTATGTCCCGTACGGCCTCGTCCTGCACCTATTGGGATTCTTCGTTCCATTCACCATCATTGCATGGTGCTACTCCCAGGTAGTCAGGACCATCTTTAGGACCCTGCATTCTCCATCCAGCTCCCAGGTGGGGGGAGATGAGGAGGGAGGTGGTGGGGGGTCAGAGGGGCGCAGGGAGAGGACGTCCATCTCCATCTCCAGCTCACAGCACTCCCATTTCATCCGCAGGCGCCGCAAGTCCATCAAAACCATCATCACCATCACTCTCCTGTTCGCACTCTGCTTCCTCCCCTTCCACGTTACCCGGACACTATTCCTGCTCCTCAGGAGGGGTCAGATGGGAGGATGCAATGCCATGAAGACAATCTCTATCTGCTACAAGGTCACTAGGCCACTGGCCTCCTGTAATGCCTGGTTGAACGCTCTCCTGTACTTCCTCACTGGAGACAAGAGTGTCCCCTGCTGTGACATGGCCAGTCGGCATGACCACCACCGCAACCCCTCTCTCTGGCCACTGAGGATCCTGAGGAAAGACCGAGTGGGAGAGAAGGAGGAGGTGAAGGGAGTAAAGAAGACGGAAAAGGAGAAGGAGAGGGAGATTTGTCGGGACAATAAGTCAAAGTCTTCTGGGATTGTCTTTTAGGAGATTTTACGTTCAGAAAAAATACAGCATCGTTTAAGTGTACATTTGTGTGTGTGTATTTTTTGTATGGACATTTCTATTTGGGACACTTGGTAGTTTTGCACTTTATTTCATTTGGACTTGTTACATTTGTTACTTTCTAGGTCGGCATGTTGACATTAAATGCAGGTCAAGTTATCATTGTGGTCTATTTCTTGTTTGTGTTTAACTTTATTTGTGTGATCACCGGCCAACAAAGACTGGTTGTTAGGGGGAGTGTCCTGTGATAATTAGCCAATCCAGAAGGTTAATGATCCTCTCTTTCATCTGGTCCTCTAACACTGCACATTGCTTAGTCTGACACCCTCGCACATCTTTAAACTCTGTATTAATTTACAAAACATGTCTGTCGCTCTTAATCACTCACACATTATTGGGAAGGCGCACACACACAACCTCCATTCATACATTTCCCAGTCATGACCCTCCCTTCACCCCCCTCTCCAGGCCAGAGGACAGCTGGTGTATAAAATGTGATGTTGCAACAACGCAGGCTGGGACAGTAAGTAGCTCTGCCCCTGCTTATCAGCAGCCAGTGACCCACGAAGCCTGGACCACAAATATTATTGCTGACTGCTGTCCCCTCCCCTGCCTCTGTTAATGGAAAAGCGTGAGTGTGAAAAAGATGTAGGCATAGGACCAGTAGCAGCAGCCAGCACCAATAGCACAGTCAGAACACTCTAAATTGCAGTGAATCTCCTTCATGCAATATTCTATCTAGCCAGGGAGAGGCGCTGTTATCACAGATGACGAACTAACTCTATTTGGTGGAGGACTATGTTGTGAAATCTTTCAATTAGTTATATTTTGATAAATAGTTACATTTTGGGGAGATTTTGTCGATTTCGTTGAGGACGCAATGAACAACTTAACCGGAGGATGCACATTTTCAACGATCCATATGTTTTGTTGAGGACAGTGCTGTTTTATTCTCTGACTGATTAGCTACTGTAGTTAGCCAAGTTGGAGTGTTAACGGTTAGCTACTGTAGCTAGCTAGCTAATCCTAAGAAGTCACGTCTCCAGCTGGCCGCCTAACCTCATTTCCCTTAAAAGTTATTGTAAGGGATATATCTCTCTAGTTGACAGTGTTGGTGAAGTATGTGTTGCTTGTTTAGCCTTTGTGCGTCAACAGGAATTGCGTTTCTGAGTACTTTATAAGGTTAGCTAGTTACGAATAGTCGCTTGCTGTAACTTGAGCCAAGTCTGATTTAATCTAACAAAAATGAGATAGAGGGAAGACACCGAGTACATTTCCCGCTGATTTAACTGCTCTGAATTGGACCGAAAGGTTTGTGTGTGAGGCCTGCAGGTCGGGCTTTCACCGAGCTAGAGTAGGGCCGTACGCCGCCTCTGAGCGCTCCTAGGCCAGCAGCTCGCGCTGCTAGTCTGGAGGCCGGTGATTTCAAGAAATGGAAGGAATGGAAGTGGACCAGTGCGCATGCGCAGCTCCCGGGAGCGGAGGCGGGGCTCTTCGTAGATCGAACAGCGCCCCCATGATCACGAGTGTCAGGTTAGTGGAATTGATATTCTACTTGATTGAAATAGAATTGTCTGTCTGTCATTTATGAAATGAGATTTTTGCAGTCATGTTTGTAATATGTCTGCCTTGGAATGATTCTGATTATTTTATTGTTTGTTTCTCTCCATGTAACAGTGATGGTATGACAGTGTTCAGTCCAACTATTTCAGGCCGGTATCGACGGAGCAGTGTCTCTGTCAACCCCAGCTGTCCTTCTCGGGTAAGTGTGTGTCTTCAGTCAGTCTGAGTTGTTGCTGAAATGCCTTTAGCGTTGTCTGATTTCTAAATCTCCATGTTTTTCTTTCAGTCTCTGACTGACTGTCTGTGATCATTCATTATTCTGTCAGTTACGCCGTCAACAGGAGACCGACAATAATACCTCCAGTCTTGATTCCACAGGCCGTCCCGCTGTTCCCTTTCTCATTGGGTGGTGAGAGACCAGACCACAAAAGGCAGGTGAGGACAAGGTTAGGGATATTGTGGGCCTCTCTCCTCTATGTGTGCAAATGCCTGCCTCTGAGTAATGATGCTGGTTTGAGTGTTTGTTTATACATTAGCCAGTGTGTTAGTACAGTTCTGTTTGAGGTTATCTTATGTAAATGATCACATTGGTGTTTCAGTGTGTGTGGCGCGCTGTAGTATGTGTGTATGACCACTGACTGAAAGTGTGTGTATTTTTTTTTTCAAGGAAGAGAATATGGAGATGACACTCAGGGGGAGTCTTCAGAGACTGAGGTAAGGTAGTGACACACACACACACACACACACACACACACACACTAACTGTGTTTTCTCTCTTTTGTTGTAGTGCTTCCAACCTGGTCGCTCCTCCTGTCAGTCACTGGCATGACCATTCATCAGGGGTGAGTACTCCCTCTGTGTTCTGCACGTGACTGTAGTGCTTTGTCATACCAAAGCATGGAGAGGATTGATGAATAAATGGATGGATAAAGAGGCATCTCATATTTGCTTATATTCGTCCTTTCTTTCACAGGGATTACATTTACAGGACAGTGGTGTCACACCCAATTCGTCCCCTAGTCCAACTCGAAGGTTTAGGGGGTGAGTTGAGTTCCACGTTGCATGGCAACTTGAGTGCAGATTCATAGCTATCCTATGATTGTGGACTTACAATTTAACAAAGTGTCCCTTCACCGCCAGGCCTACAGTCAGCTCTACTGTGAGATGGCCTGCCCTGACTCCACTGAAAAGGAAAGGTAAGAACGGTGCTTCAAGAATGGTGCTTACTTTACTCAGCCTTGGTGTGTGTGTGTGTGTCTGTGTCCTCTTTCATCCTGTCGTTCTGTCATGTAGGAGGAGTGGAGTCTGATGGCCCGCCGAAGAAGCTGTTTGTTGCTGGGGTAACAGATCCTGTTCACCGAACTAGTTACACAGTCAGGTGAGAACTAGACATACTCAGATACACAAACTCTTGCACACTTGCGAATATGGTGCTAGCTGCATCTCTTTTAACCTCTCCTTCTGTTTCCCCCCCACTCTCTCTCTCTCTCCCCTCCTCTCTCTCTCTCTCCCCTCCTCTCTCTCTCCTCCCCCCTCTCGCTCTCCCCCCCCCTCTCTCTCCCCCCCTCTCTCTCGCTCTCTCCCCCACCCCCCCTCTCTCTCGCTCTCTCCCCCAGTGTGTCTCAGGCCTCTGCAGACTCTCCTACAGGTGGTGTGTCTGTGTGTGGTGCTAGTCCCCAGGGTAGTCCCCTGTCCCTGTCTCCTCCCCCCTCATTCACCTCTCACCACCCCAATATCTAGAAACCACAACACCAGCAGCCTATCACAGACCAGGACTACAGTCAGCCTATCAAGAGTCCTAGATTCTACTCAATCAGCCTATCAAAGCGCTCCTCTCCCTCAAATCATCAGAGCCTTGGGGATACTCATCATATTCCTTGGCTCCTGAAGTAATCATATCTTGAGTTGTAATCAAGATAATATATAGATGTTACACAAAGACTGGCACCTGTGCTTTGTTAATCAGAAGGTTGCATGAAATGCCCTGCCAAAGGAAGTTGGGGGGTGAAGAAACTGATGACAATGGGAGTGCATTTAGAAAAATGTTTGAGTAACTTCTGGACTCACTCTTCGCTGTAGTTGACATGTGGGTTGTTGTGATATCCAATGTCATTGTCAACTATGGTTGTCATTTTTCTTGTTGGGCTTTTGTTTATATCATTTCTAAAGGTGTTACTGGTACTGTAAAACAGAATGAGTTCTTCCAATAGTCCAGAAAAGGCCTTGTCCGAAGTTGTGTTCAGAGGTAACAGTGAGGGCACATTGTAATCCCACTGAACGTGACCCAATAGTCCAGTATTCTTTCATAGTCCAGAAGTAAGCGCTCAAAAATGAGACATGAAGACAGGGTGTCACATCGGACTGTCGAGCCAGCGGTGGCTCAGTTTGTCTATGTGAATAGTGATATAAGCAGGGCTGCCTTTAAGGCAGGACTGGGAGTGGGTTCTCTGGCTGAGGGGGTTTGTGCTGTATATATAGAATCCCCAGGCAAAGCTCTGCCCAGAGGACCCACCCAGTCCAGTCCTGGCCTAATCCTAATGAGAGATCTGCGTGGATACTGGTACTTCTAATTTTCACATCTGTTTTTGACATGACATCAATACACGATTTTTGCAAAAGTCTAAGTTAGTATGAATATCTCCAGTTAGGATTTGACCCTCAGTTCATACTTCCTCATTAGTTCCCTTACTGGTTCTCTCCCAACTGATGCCTTAATCAGTTTTTGTAGCTGTGAGTTGACGAAGGAAGTGTGTGTTCCTGGAAATCAATCACCTCTTTTGACAGGTGTGTGTGTACTTTAGTTTGATAGAAGGGACCTCGACTGGTGATCTCAGTCCTCTGGGCAGAGCGTGATATTACCCTTTCTCTACATGAGTACTACTTTATAAAGGGTAGCCTGTGGGGTGTGATCACATTTTCCCATTGATTACATGAATGTTCTTGTTTGACTTCTAATGTGGTATGGTTGTACATGCTCAGAACCCTGGTAGATATTGTGAAATATCATTAAGTGACATCAAGGGTATATCATGCTGTTTGGGGTTGATGTAATCTATTGGAAATGTGTGGTTTTTAACCCCATGCATGAGTCTTTGTGACCTCCAGACCTTTTGACTTGTGAAATATGTACAGAGCTGCTTAGGGAAGTGTCTTATACAAAAACAAATAATGTTATTGATAGTAACTATGTGTAATACTCTTCATTCAAATGCCCTTTCCAGAGCTGAGTTTTACAGCAACGGACAGATTTCTCTCTCCAAATATCGTCTCCTTTTTGTGGACGGAACATTCTACTTCCAATTTAAGATTTTGCACAGTATTAGTTTCACATTATTAATCAATATTGCTGTTACATGAATGGGATCATATCCTGATTTTAAGACATGCTGTTGCATTGTATATTTGTTGCTTAATTTGCTCGCTTCTCATCGGGTCTCTGTCATGTCTCAGAGAAGTGCTTAGGTCAGCAAGGGTTGAGGGTCATCTTCTGATCTTAACCCCAGATTTAGATGAAGAAACTTAATTTGTTTTTCCTCAGTGACAATCAGTGAATTTGGAGGGAAATAAAAACTCCAGTTGTTGTTTGAGTTCTATTCATGTTAACTTGTTGTTCTCAATAATGTAGTTAGAATCTTTTGGGCCAAAGGAACCAATCTATGACGCCGGCATACATTGTTTAAATTGACAACCAGCGTCACAGTTTCATTTCTCTCAAGGGTGTATGATTGAGACCCTAATGTAGATCATCAATCAACTCACATTGCCAAACCCAAATTATTATCTTTCATACACCATGTACAGAAAGATACTGTGGCTTTCGACACATGTATTTTATACTCTTTCCTAAGTATGGGAAGATCCTGTAAATGCATATTAGGTTAAATGACATGAACATCAATAGAAGATGATCTCTTATGTCATATCATAACTAACTAAATGTTAACTTGCAAGTAAAACATGCCATCAAATGGCACTAATATTCAGTAGTAGTTTCACCAATCCCATCCTGTTGCAGAGGATGAACAATATAGGGAGGGAAATACATTTACGAGTTGGAGGTGATCTGAAATATTTAAATCTCCTGTTGATGTTCTATTGCAGTTGACCCACAGGATTAGCATGCCTTATCAGCAGTTTCCCCCCCCATTGTTCTGTCGTACAAGGAGACCACTGCCTTTAGGAGATAAGTCAAGGCCTGGGTCTGAGACCTAGGAGACATATCTAGGAGATGACCTAGGAGACAAACCGAGGCCTTGTCTGGCCATCTCAATTGCAAACCTTCAACCAGGAGACCATCTGATTGGTGCTGTGGTCAGTTAAAACACTCCATTTGTATCGTCATTTTGCAGATTTTCTTTGATTCTTTTAGTAATCCTTTTCCAAAAACGACATGTCAGTGTCAGAGAGCTCCTTTTTTTCTGGTTTTCAAACTGACATTAGAATGAGGCAAAGGAGGCCTAGAGGAGAGTGATGTGAGGAATTAAAGAGAGCGAGAGAGATGTGAGAGAGGTGAAAAAAGGGAACTAAAGCACATCTGCCAGACCATTCAAGTATTTTCAGACTGTAAATAGCTTTGAGAATAGTCTACATAAAGAGAAGATTGTATTTTTATGGAACTTTTAAGAGTGAGAGAAACTATATTAATTCCCTCTGAGTAGCCTTTCTCATGCCTGTAAAGTTGACACAAAATGTGTCTAGTTTTAGGGGGGGATAATGTACACCTTTTAAATATATATGAATAAAGTCATGATAATAAAAGTCACTGTATTATATCAGAAAACCTGTGGACTTTCTTTGTCTCCATAGATCATTTGATATGGTTACCTGTCCATTTCTGCAAGCTTTTTTTAAATAATCACCTTAGATAGCTGCTACCCTCTGTATCACATCATTCTACAAGCACAGTGAAACAGAGACGTAAAAAAATAGATTAACATTTTACTAAACAACAACATAAAAAGGAATCATGTCATGCACAACCATTGTTTGAACAAAATTAAATAAACTTGGCTAGCGTATATCTTGTCTTTATAAATATATCAACCCGTGGTACACAACATGTACACTCACTCCATTACATGATGGACATGAGGAGCGTATTCATTACGGAAACCGTTTACCATTTAAGAACCAAACGGAAGTAAACAGAGCAAAATAAGAGTTTCTATTGGACGGATTCCGGTAGGTCCCTCCCGTTTCATTTTGTTTGCTTGCTTAAAAAAATAAAATAAAAAATTGCAACAATTGGCCTAATGAATATGCCCGACGGCTGCATTCAGTACAAGAAAATACTTACTGCAACGCTCAATTCAACAGAAACGGTGCTGTTCTGAACAACCAGTTGAAAAAACGGGGAGGGGTTGGGTTGTGGAACACTCTGCTGCCCTTTAAATACTCACTCATTGCTTCAAGCCACACCCACCAAACGGAGCAAACTCACCTCAGTCGGTTCAAGAACGTGTTGGGGAAACGTGTCGTTCAGTACAACCCGTTCTGCAACGTAGCAAACGTATAATCAAACTGAACGCACCCCTGCACTGCAACACCTCACTTCTCTGGAGATTATGGACATTCATGTTCAGCCACAATACAGTACTTGTAAAATTAGCAGTGCAAATAAATGATAACATTTTACAATAAAAAAAGCTACAAAACACACAAAAACTAGGTTTTCTTCACAGAGTGAAATGGAAGGGTTCCTCTGTAGAAATGCCCCAGACTGAATAGGGAAGCACTTGATTGGGAGGCGGGGCTGTTCATAAAAATACTAAAATGCATCTGCTAAAATCTGTCCAAAAAAGCTCTATAACAAGGATACTAACTGTAATCTGCTTTCTGGTGATAGAGGGACCCAGTGTTTCCAACCCACGGGTACAGTGGGGCTAGAGGTCAGCGAGACAGGAGGGGCAAGTCACTGGAGTTCATAATGAGGCTGGAGTCCAGGTTGAGGCTCTCTGGGAAAACAAGATGAGCCACACATATTTAAAACAGAGAACAGATGAAGCCAACTATCTTTTCAGCTAAATACCTTTGACTTCAGCATAACGCCACAATGTGAACCATGTTGATTGAGAGCCAGTGATGGAGCTGATAATATTATTCACCTTGATCAAAGTTGAGCTTCTTGGTGTTGGATCCATCTCCCAGTCCCTCAATGTCCACCAGGTCACTGTTAACATCCAAGTCATTCAGAGCACTGAGCGTCACATCTACACACGGACAGAGAACACACACAGACAGGGAAAACATGTAATATGTTAGTAAACTTGCACATTCAAAGTAGCCAATGCTTGGAGTAAATGCATCAGAAGTATCGATTCGAAAAGGGTTCAAGTCATTTCCACAAAAATGTCTTGGTCTTTTGACTATGGATGAAAATCTAGTCTACTAAATTCTGTATACAAGCCATACTCATCACACAATCCCTGCCCCTTGAGGTAAAGGCCTGTATCATTCCACTCACCTGCTGTTTTCTGTTTCTTGATGGCTGGGGGCATAGGGGAGGGGCTCTGAAGCCCTGTTGTCAAGACAACCTGTGAGGTGGGCACAGCGATGACTGTGGGAGCCACGGGTGCTGGTGCAGCTGCAATGGTGACCGTGGTCTTCTTGGTGGTCTTTTTGGGGGAGTCGGAGGAGAGGGGCATCCTGCTGTCCTCATACAGTTTCCTCTTCACTGTTGTCTTTATCTGGGCTCTGCATTAAACATAGGAGAGGCAACATATTGGTAATGTGGTTTTCATACAAGTTGACACACAGGATGTATACATTGTAAACTAGATAATTAGCCAACAGCGCTATCAACCCCACCAGATGTCTTCTTTAGAAAGAAGGCAGTAAAGATGAAAGATCAATGGCTGAAAGCGTGGTAAAAGACAGGTAAGAGTGGGTGCAGTATGATAAGAGATAGAGAGGGAGAAAGAGAGTGAAAGTGTGGCAGGATAGAACAAATGTGGATGGCAAGAGAAAGGGGACAGAAGGGTCCTCACACAGTGCGCTCCTTAATCACAGAGCTGATGCTGTTCAGATCATCACCGAAGCGCCGCACAGCTGAACGCAGCATCTCGATCTCTGTCTCTGTCCATTTGGCTCTGGGGAGAGGGGCATAGTAATGGGAAGAGGGGGAGAAGTACAGAGAATACACCTTAATCCCCATATTTTTGTGTGTGTGTGTGTCTGTGAGTGTATACACTCACCCTGCAGGGCTAGAGTCAGCTACTGGATGCAGCTGCATGGTAAGCTCACCCAGCTTGGTGAAGGCAGCTCCTGCGGCTGAGAAGATCTCTCCCACCTGTAACAGAAATTGAGACATGGAAAATTGTAACTTTATATCAATAGTACTGCATTAGCTTAGGGTCATATGACTAATGCACACCATCATGGTGCAGAATGGTTAACTAGTAAATCTGTTGATGTGCCCGTGAGCAAGGCACTTAACCCTAATTGCTCCAGGGTCGCCGTTGTGGCTGACCCTGGCCACCGTGACCCCACTCTCCGAGGGTGTCTCAGGTAGAGTTGGGATATGAAATAAAAATAACTTTTCAATTTCACACATGCGTATAATACAAACTTGTACATGAAATAGGACAAATATAAGCACTCACCAAATTATTATTATTAGTAGTAGTAAAATAGAGCAGCACTGTTTAAGATCTTTCTTAGACAGTTCTTACCTTTGTAGAGGCGGAAGTCATTTTGGGCTGACTCCACTTGGATAGCCAGCTAACTTAGCTAGCTTGCTATCCCACTCAACAACAATAGCTTAGGAAGCTAACGTTAGCAAGGAGGTAGCTATCTACCATAGAAGGCAGCAAATTTAGCGTTTCAACAATTAACACGACAGACTAAGTCACATAGACTAATAACGTTACAAAGTGTAACTTTGTCGTTCGCAAATTACATTTAGCTATTTCAAAAATATTTGCTAGTTATAGTTAGCGTTGCTGATTGTCGTCGCGCGAGAGTCTAGAAAGGAGAAGGCGGGGCGTAACTGAGTACTTCCACCGAATGAATCGAGTGTCGGCTGATGGAGGTTAGGGTGACGCTCGTCCTTTGAGAAAAGAAAACGACTGTTTTAGATTAGTGTATCGAAATTCTATATTTTGGTAGGAAAGATCAACTAGAAGAATGCCATCTCTTTTATTCTGCGGTCCGAAAATGGCCGCTTGTGGAATAGTGATCAGCATATGGGGAGTCATCATGTTGGTAAGGATTAGCTAGCTGGCTAACGTTAGCGTTACAGACGGTACGGTACTAGTTCCCAACCAAAGCTTGCACGTAAAATATCTGCTAACATGTTAGCTAGCTAGGTGTCAAGATTTCCCACCTTTCAATATCAATCAACAATCATATTTGATAAGACACCTGTGGCTGATTGTGGGCTAAAGTAACTTGCCTTTTCTAGAATCTGATCATTATAGCTAGAAAAATTGTTTACAGTCTGGTGTTGCTAGAACATCTCTTCTTGACTAACTGTAGGGGTATGCTAGATATAGCAGTTGAATTAATTGGCTGATGTTTGATGACAGATTGTGTGACTGAACTTGTCAATCGACCCTGTATGCACAGGATGTCTCGAATGTCTCTACTGACTGGGCCCTAATTGGCCCTGTAATCCAAACACTCTCAGACTACACTGAATGTGAATAATGCAATACATATGTATCCTCTTTTTGTATTGCAGGTGATGTTGGGGATCTTCTTCAGTGCAAAGTCTGCTGTGCTGATTGAGGATGTGCCCTTCACTGAGGAGGACATCCGCAATGAGTAAGTGGTGTGAAGAAAAGGGACCATTAGACCCTTAAAATGAACTGAGTTTGACTACTAGTTTAGATCCCCTTTGAATTCCCCCTTGGTAAACCATCCCATGTTGCCTTGCTTGGGTTGTTTTCCCCAAACTCATCTGTTTCGCTCATCTCTCTCTGCCCCACAGTAAGAACCCACCGGGAACCATCTATGGACTCTACAACCAGGTGGGCATCAACTGCTTCATTGCAGCAGCCATCTATGTTGCAGTGGGGGCGGTGTCACTCTGCCAGGTCAGACTCAACAAGCGGCAGGAGTACATGGTGACATAAATTCCCCTGCAGCATCAGAAGATTATACACACACACTCTATTTCAAGTTCTCAAGGGAAGCAACCTTATAAAAAGCTATTTATAGAGTAAAACATTCAACATAAGTCCTCTCTGTTATGCTATTGATTGAAATGTTATCATTCTTTGTATTTGCATACAACTATTTATTGAATTGACCAAAACTGTAACCCAGCAATGCTAACTGACAATATTGATAATGATAAATAAAAATGTAAATCTTGTTCCCCTCAAGGACCAAACATTACATTCATGCTAGATAACGCACCACAAATTCCTAGATGCAACAGACCACTACAGTTACAGAAATCTGTAATTATCTCCTCTTTCAGTCTGAATTCACAGCAAATTGATAGATGGTCAGTGTCTGTCAGGCAAATCAAGAGATATGTAAAAAATGGTTAAATACATTTTGTGTTTGTGCACAGTTTATTGTGTTTATTTATGTGCTGTTGTGAATTGTACACTGTAAAAATATAGTTGCTGGATTCAGTCCATATCGCAGAAGATCTGTGTTAAAATGTAAAGATAATTTCCGATTGAGCCGACATATGCAGCGTCAGAGATACTTTTGAGGAGATGGGAAACTCCATTTGAGTCGTAACCATTGTGTAAAAGTAGCATAAATGTTGTGAACAAGAAGTACAACATTACACATATTCAGAGATGTGAGATAATTAACTTGTTCTCTGTACAGGGTCCCCTGTAGCTCAGTTGGTAGAGCATGGCGCTTGCAACGCCAGGGTTGTGGGTTCGTTTCCCACAGGGGGCCAGTATGGAAAATGTATGCACTCACTAACTGTAAGTCACTCTGGATAAGAGCGTCTGCTAAATGACTAAAATGTAATGTAAAATGTTCTCTGTAATGTCGTACAGCTTTGGAATCGTGACATTACAAACTTTCTAGTAAAATAGGCCGGTTTCTCAACTCATGCGGTGTTCAAAACAACTGGGTACTCAGAAATCTCAGACTTCAAGAAAACTGGGAACTCTGTAAAAAAAATAAGCGCCGACAGGGAACATCCAACTCGGAATTCCAAGTCGGAAACACAGGCATCTTTCTAGAGCACCAACTTTCCGACCTGAACATCACTGACGTCATGATTTGACCGAGTTCCACAGTTGTCTTGAAAGCACCAACATACCCTGACTTTGAGAAGGGATTGCGTGCAGATAGCACATTGTCTTTACATTTCAATCGAGCTATAACGCGGCACTTCCGCAATATGGATTGACTCCAGCCCTAGCTCTTAATTTCTCAGAAAAGGATTGTGTATAAAATGTTTAAATTAAATATGGAATTTATTTAATGTGTTTATTGTATTTTCTGGAGTGTAATGATGTGAAAGGATCTATAAATGGTACTTGATGTGAAGGACTTCAGTCTCTTGTAGATGTTCCCTGCAATAAACTGGAAATATAAATAAAATGAAATCACTTCATTGAATATGATAATAAAAATATATAATTCCAAAGCAACATGAAACATGTCAGCAAGACAAAACAAGACATATTGTCAAGGCAGTTTTATTTCAAAATTAATAAACACAATCATGCTGTCTCTTAAGTTTCTGTCAATTCCATTTATCAAGTTGACAATTCTAAGAAAAAACAGATTACAGTAAATCAGTTCTTAGTAATAAGTATTGATTATAAACAGTAATTATCAGCGCCATGTCTCTTTCAGCATCTACTAAAAGCTCCAGAATTACAGTGTTAGTATTAGTTAAAAGACCGATAGGAACCCCTTACACCCCGTGACCCTCCCCTTGCCACTGGTGAAATACAAATCGTTTACATGCAAATTATACACTAGAAATTCAAGACATTGGTTAATGGTTAGGTGGCCGAATTTGCACAGCCTATGATCAAACTTTCCAACGTGGAAACATTTTATCATTCAGGTTGGACTTTCATCTTTTTTAGAGCTGTAATCTTATTCCCTTGTATTTCTGCCTCCACAGAGAGTGGTAACATATCAACAAGTATCTTCAAGACTTTCATCATGTTTAATCCCATAGGTCTTTGCCAGGAGCTCTGATGCCACAATGAATGTGTTCAGTTTTCCATCCTCCAGGGTCACCTCGTTATTGCACGCGATTGATTGAATGGACAACATTGCAGTCTCCGATTTAACAGCCTGGATCTGCATACAAACAGCGGGTAATAAAAGTGTGTTGAAAATTGTGAATGGATATCATAACCATAACTAGAATGAGAAAGATTGGATAGTGCATATGGTTTAGATAACAGGGACCTACCACATCAACCCTGGATTATTTTGTTGAGTTGAGAGAAATACTGTCTTCGTACTCACTGGAGTACACATTGGTCACCCTGATAGTGTCTCCAATGCCAACCATTGCAGCGCAGCTCACCTGGTCCCCCCAGAAACAGATCTCAATGGAGTTTTGTTTGGTCTCATCCTGCAAGGTCAGGAAGCGCTGTGCAGGCAGCTTTCTCTGCTTTTTCACTTTCACTTTCCCAGTCCCCTGAGTTAGAACATAGGTGGCAATTCACAATACATCTCAAAGAAAAGTGTTAGCAAAGGTAATCTGTCTGTAAAAAGGTATGAGGCCTCACCTCTTCAATTACAGTTCCCTGAATGCTCATCTTGGTGCCGGAATCAGATTCGTTGGCATCAGCTATCGAGAGGACTGCCTGATGAATGAGCGTCCAGGCCTCCTCATCTAGCCATTCCGGAACTTCGAAAGAGCTTGTTTTGGAAACATTGCTTCTGCTTGTGAACTTCACTGTGTCGTCGCTCATGATTAGATTTCTGAACAGGTAGTAGATTCCCTTTTGGAAGAAGTTGTATCTGTCCTTTCCAAATACAATGACTTCGACACAATCTGTGTCATCAACCAGACCCATCTTGAAATAAAAACCTTTTTTCTCTTTTTGTATGGTATCAAATTAGACTGTGATCATCTTCCCAAGTATAACTTTATCACAGAGTTCTCCCAAGGTTTTCAGCTCTGCAATGGTTATCATCTTACCAAAAGAGGGGGAAAGAGGATCAGTCAATAGCTGCGTTTACACAGGCAGACCAATTCTGATCTTTTTTGCACTAATTGGTCTTTTGACCTATCACATCAGATATTTTTACAACAAGCAAATAATCATAATTGGGCTGCCTGTGTAAACGCAGCCTATGTGACCAACCAGGTTTTAAACCCAAGACATCTGTGTGATTCAAGCTTTGGGAGCTAACGTGAGTCTTCAGGACTCAGACAATGTTACTCATCATGTAATGGTGGTCATGGTGATCCACTACATCTACATCTTAAATAAAAGGAGACAAACACTTACCCAGGGTTTGAGAGTGCGCTTGGAAGAGGGAGGAGGATAACCCTGATGTTAAGTAGAAAATAAAACTATAAGTGGTAGAGCTGACATTTTATTCTAATTCTGTGGGGTTTTTAATCAAACAATTTGTCTACCAATACAAATTAGCTACATTTTACAGTTTGTACAGCTGAGGCCACCTGTCTGATCTGTTTTTTCTTCTTCATTTCAGACAAGGCTAACACCTGAACTTTTTTTCAGCTTGTGAATAGATCCCTAACTCAGCTCCTACCTTGTTGCTTTTCCCTTGCCCCTTCTTCTTTTGCCCTTTAAAACAAAATATATGAATTAATCAAACATTGGCATGAGGAGTAAGTAAAATCAATCTCCATTGTTCATATGAACTTGTCAAGTGAACATCCATTCAGAATATGCATGGCCATTCTTTACACCTACTGTATAAGTTAAATTGAATGACTGAAACAAATACACATTTTAATTTCAGCTTGAAAACATATATTCTTTATAACCTGCATCTGACTCCTCGTCCTCCGATTCTCTCACATATTTTCTCTTCTGTCCTGAAAAATAAATGTATTTTCAATAAAATAATACATTTTATTCATCTTAATGTTTAAATTCTGCTGGGTGAGGCACAGCAGCAATTTACCACTAGACTAGAGCAGTAAAAAAGCCCCTGATTTGCCTACCAACAGTACAACTGCATATGATGCCATCATAAAAACGTACCATTCACTGAACAATCACACACCCTGAGGAAATGTTACTAATTTGAAGGGACACCTTCATGAGAAAAACAATACATAAAAAGAAGTCAGCAATACTATCAAAACTCTAATATAATATTTTTGAAATGTATAACAGTGGCTAGGTGTCTCAGACTCAAATATGTTGTGCGATCCTTATGCCGTCCTACAGGGATGTAAAAAGAACCAACAACATTTTCAAGAAACTTTGTTGCACTCAACAATTTCTGCTGACCAGAAATGGAAAGTGAGATGGGAACGTAAAGTCATTAACGCTATACTTTCTGTGAAATTGTAATACCTTTATTTTCTTTCTGCATTTTCCTATTCCGGTCGTCAACAAAGGGGAGCAGTAGGTTCTGAACAGTAGGGTCCTTTCTTGGGATCTCCTCCATCACTCTCTTCACCTCAAGGATAGACTCATCCAATCCATGGTGTTTGATAATGATTCTAGCCATGTCTTCTCTTGCGGTGCTCTTCTGTACACTTTCTGGAATTTCTTTTAAACAGTTGAGCATCGTTTTGTAATCACTATCATTCAGATGCTCTATAATGCTATTGAGCGCTGCATGCCACTTCTCTGCATCGCTTGAAGTCATCTCTGGAAAAATGAAAAATATATCTTAAAAATATAACTTACAAATGCAAATCTGAAGCAGATTGGTCAAACTACTGTAGATTGTGGCACCCAGGCTAACTTGCTATTTCATTTGAAAGATGTAGGCTACACATTCTATCAATCTGGTAGTCAGACGAGACGATCCCTCAGTTATAAAAGTCCAATCTTATGCATATATTTTTTTATTTCATTTTCATCTACCCATTTAGGTAATACGTTTTTCACGCTCGTTCTATAGGCCTTTGAATCAACATTTCAAATAATCACTGGGTCAACAACATTCAAACATTTACAACAAAATTGACCAA